GGGTTCTTAAGGTCATGCAGGATTTATATCATCAACAGTAGGGTGTTTTTTTTAGGCGTCCAGAGGACCTAGTCGTGAGTACTACTTGGACCCTCTAGGCAGGTTGGATGGACAACAACTCCGTAGGGCGTCCTATCATAATCTACACAATCGCATACCCCTAAACCCTACTCTAACTGTTAAGCCAGACCCTAAACCTTAAACTCTAAACCCTAAACTTAAACCCTGCACCCCAACCCTAAGCACTGTACTGGTTTCGGGTTTAGGAACTTTCGAGCCTGACTGCAGGTAGCATGGGAGCAGAAGGCCGGGTGTGCAGGGGAAGACTGGCGGAGCTTTCTGCCAGGGGTGCGCTTTTAGAGTTTAGGGTTACGGGTTTAGGGTTTAGGGTTTAGAGTTTAGGTGTTGAAGGCACTTCAGGATTTTATCCATCCCTTGGACTACATAATCTTTCGAAGCCTGGTTCAGCGGGGTCAAATCCCGGGCGCCTATCTTCCAAAACTGGATCCTTGATTACCCTATACCATATGAGCAGTTCTCCAAATTAGGGTCCCTATTTAGGTCCCCAGAATATTACGGCACCCTTATAAAGAAGGCCCCTGACAGGGACCCTGATTTAGAGAACTACCCATATAAAACGCCGTGTTTGACATCCTATATACTTTATGGTCAAATCCAACAACAAGAAATTAGGGCAATCAACAAATTTAAGTAAAGTCCCCAACTCGAGGCCAAAACTCTAACTCCACCTTAGCCACCAAAGCCCTAAACTCCAACAGATCGTTGCAGGCCTCTCTCCAAAAAGAAGCATTGGAAATCCTGAAGACTGTACCTCCCAAACCAAACACTGAAAACTCCTCAGCCCTGCTGAAAACCTCAAACGCTCAATCGATTTCTTTGGTCGCAGGCCCCTCCATCCAGGTCTGCACCTCCTTTGCCATGCTAGCGGGCTGCTGGGCTCGTGTTAAGGAACTCAGGGCTCAGGCTTCAGGGTGTAGGGAAATTGGGTTCAGGGATACCATCATAGGGGTCTATAGTGAATTCTAAGGTTGCCTAAGGTTACCACAACAGGGATCTTTTGGTCGCTTCAAACCCGAGTTCCTTAGCCGCTGGGTCTTGTTATTAGCTGATTGGCCCAAAAACATCTTCCAGCATCCCCCAAAGCACGCTAGCACAGATATGTCATGTTCGGTTTTGGGACACCCTATCTGACTCAGTTAGGCTCAGTTTGCTAAAGTGCTTTTCTGGCACCTGCAAGAGCACTGTCCACAAAAACAGCCTATCTGGCTAAGATAGGCTCCTCTTCCTGGTGGGCCCCCGATTGGCATCCCCTAAGCACGGAAACAACCTATCTGACTCAGATAGGCTCGTTTTTGGAGCAGCAGGCAGTGTCTTGTCTAGGCAACTACAGCACTTCGGCGCGCCAAGAGCACCCTATTTTGGGTTCTTTGCGCCCCAGCACACCCTATCTGGCATTTTGTCCGCAAAGCACCCTTTTGAGCACGTTTTGCGGTGGGATCCCGAAAAAACCCTATCTAACCCGGATAGGCTCCTTTTGCTGGTGGCACCCTGTGGGCATCCTTAAATAGCATCCCTTTAGCATGGATAGGCAGTTGTTTAGCTTTCAAGACCCCGAAAGCACCCTGATAGGCTCCTGGCACCCCAAAAGCACACTCTGCTTGGGCCAGATACTGCCACCAGCCCCAAATCGTACTAATTTGGAATATTGAAACTGAATACCGACCGCTGCGGAAATTCGCCGCGACATCATCTGCTTAATTTCGAGTTGCAATGATTGCAACCTGTGCAATTGTTAAGGAACTTACGGTGCAGGCTTAGGGTTTACGGTTACCATAAGGAGATTACAGGGATCTTTAGTAACGAGCAGGGATTCCTACTTATGGTAACTTCAAGCTCAGTTCCCCAGCAAGAGCTGAGGCTGGTACAGTGGCATCCGGGCTTCTGTGACGCCGGGGCCCCGGTTTCAAGGGACATTTGTGGAAACCGCCTTCTTCGGGTAAGTAGGGTTTAATATAGGGACCTTAATACTTTCCTATATTTGTGGGATTCCGTATTATATTTCTTGTGCAAACAAAGCCCCAAAACCCTATTCTAATCATTAAGGCCCTTACAGAGGCGTTTGGGATCGAGCCTGCCCGTAGGTAGGTATTGCCCTCACCCCAGTGGCACCGGCCACGTTTGAGCCATTCCGCGCAGCCCGGCGTGGCACCGGCGTGCGCGCAAGCGGAGGTCTTCAGCACGGGCCCGCGTTCACCTGGCTAGGAGCTGGTCTGTTCTGCCTCAGCGACGCGACCTGGTCTTACTGGAGTCGCACCACTCAGTGCCACGATACCGGGAGTCCTCTTACCTCATGGGAGGAAGAGGCCGCAACAACCGCGCGCAATGGCAGGCGCCTCGAGAAGAGCCTACACAGGCTTCTGGGCGTGGAGAGCAAGGCTCGCAAAAGTGGGGTTACTGGCGTGGCAGCTGGCAATCCTCGCCGCAGGCCAGGGCGCAGCCTCGTGCCACGCCCCGCTACGACCAGGCAAGTGGCAAGCCAGCTCACGACAGACAGGCTCCCTGGAAGCCTCAGAATGCGGAGCCGGAGAGTGTGATGAATGCGGTTCAGCGCGCTCTGACTTCGACTCCGACCAGGAAGGCCGATGTACGGATCAGGAAGCTCCGCGAGGAGCGGGACAAGAAGGACGATTGCTGGCGGCAGTTTGTCCAGAAATCCAAGAAGGAGTTTGCCACGCAGAGACGCCTGTACGAGGAGGACTTGACGAGGATCGACCGCGAGTTGGAGAGCGCTGCGGACCAAGGAGAACAGGCCGCGCAGAGGGTCAAGGACCTTGTTCTCTATGGTGCGGATGCGTTGGCTCCCGTTCCGCCTCCGCAGGAAGAGCCGACCGATATGGAATGGGAACAGCTGGTGGCTACGGAAGACCGCTCCGACGAGTCGACTGGTTTCTACAAAGAAGCTCTGCGGGCTGCGAAGCAGATTTCTGGTGGGTCTCCTACCCCTTCGGATGCCACGGTGCGGGCTGCGCTTGCAGAAGCCCTTCCTTGCAAGACTCCGGTCCGTGCAGGGCCCCCGCGCTCACCTCTTCCCTCGGCAGCGCTGCAGCATCCCAGTGTGGCTCTTCCACCTCCCGGGCTATCCGCTGCTTTGGTGGAAGATGGCTATCCTTCCCCTCCGAGCCTTGGGGAAGCTCCTTCACCAGTGGTCAATGCGATGAACAAGTTGCGGGTGGACGGGACTCCACCGACCAAGGTGCATCCTGGCCAACGCGATGCCACCAAGCTTCGCACTCCGACACATGCCGAGGCACCAAGGCAGGGCATCAAGGAAGCCACTATGTCAGCTCCCCACCACGACAAGCCGGATGGTTCCGCTCTATCTCGGAAGCTGGCAGACAGACGCCAACTGGAAACAAGTCGAGCCATGCAGGCTTTCGGGGGCGCTGGTCGTGTTGCCGATGGCCCTGCTCTGCCGGCTGCTGCCGGGCAAGCCCCTCTCGTTTCCAGTTTTGTGGAGGACGACGAGGACGAGCCTCCGAACTCTCAGGAGTCCAACGGTCTTCGCAGGATGGAGTAGCATGCAGTGCAAGCCGGCTTAGGAATAGGTCGGAGGGATCATTGTCCGGGCTTCATGAGGTTGGCAGGCTGGATCGGCCGGGTCTTTCGAGTTCCTGTGGTTGGAACTCACTGACCCTGTTCCCGTTCGGTCAATGCCCTCCTTCTGGTATCTCGGCGATGATGCACTCAGGACCTGTTCGGTTTCACACCTCTAGTAGCTGTGACTCCTTCTCTGTAGCCGGTCTTGGTCTATTTCTCGGCGTTTTCCGCTGTCCTTCTCATCCTGAGGTTTTCCTTGCTTCAGGCTGCAAAGGCTCTTCTTCTACTGTCCTCGTCGCCTGGACTCTGTTGTCCTCGGACGCCTCAGCACTTTCGCTTTGGATTTGTGCGGATGGCGTCCCCCGCCCTGCCGCTGTCCGCACCTGTGGACTTGGAATTGCACCAGTTGTACCGCCTTTCTTCTGTTCTTTTTTCCGCGGCCCTGGGTTTTTCCTGCGTAACCTTGCAGGTGGTCGCTGGCCACCCCTGTTCCCCTTTCTGTGGGGCTTCTTTGCTCGTTTTAGCAGTGCGCCAAACATGCGAATCGGTGGCTCTGGGTCGCAGGCCTGCTTTCGAGCTCTTGCTTATCTCCCCCTTTTGCCCTCTCAGGGTTTAGGTCCCCTTCCCTCTAGTTGGGTTTGTAGTGGTGCTGAGGCCGGAGCCAGCCGTGGATTTTGCCCGGGGTTTGCAGGGGTCTCCCGCCTGTCAGGTTCTCCGGAGGGCCTTGGCTTTGGATGCGTTGCCGATTCTTTGTCTCTACCCAGCCCTCATGCGCGAAACACCCGTATCGGTCGCTCAGGGACGGGGGCTAGGGCTGGGGAGACCTTTGTTGTTACTCTGGGGACCTTGTATGACGCATGCACTGCTCTGACACATACCCTTCGTGGTATCGTGCTGTTTTGCCTGGTTGCTCTACTGTTTTGTCGCCTCCCTTGTGGGCGTCTTCGAGTTTTTCGCCCAACGCGTGGTATGAGGCGTCCCTGTCTTTCTTCCATGAGATGGGTCACTGCCTTACAGGTTGCGTCCCCCTCCTCCCCGGTGCTGCGCTGGACCCCGTGCATTCAGCAGCATAGAGTGGTCTTGCCAGGGTCTAGTCCTCGGCTCTTGCGTCTACGGCTTCTGTGTGCATTGCTGGGGTTTTCCAGTATGCCCTCCTGTGTTTGGGCTGCACCTATGGGCTGGCCCGGAGCCGGCCTTGGTTTATACCTTCCGGTTGGGTCTTCTGCTCCTTCCGCTGCCACTGTGAACGCCGCCCCGCGTTCAACTGAAGGGGTTAAGCATCACGCCTCCGATCGCGGCAACACTGCGGGTTTGCAGTTTGTACCGGCCCCGCCTGTGTCTCCCTCGGCTGCTGTGCAGGACGGCCCGGTGTTAGGCGTGACCATTTATGCCCCGCACTTTGGGCCTGTCTCCTTCGGTGTCGTGTCCCATGTACCGATTGATCTGGAGGAGTTAGTGATACATGTGCAGAGGTCGAGCATGCTTCCGGCCCCCGGCTTGGATCTCATAGTGCCCATTACTGAGCAGAGGTTTCCTTGCACAGTTGAGCTGCTTGCATTCCCCTCCTTTCTGCATCAGCTACAGCCCACTCACTACGCAGTTATGATTGATCTTTCACGTGTGGGTGGACACTATCACGCTGCTTCCTTCCCTGAAGGACTCACTCTGCAAGGCCTCCTCGTTCACGTGGAGACGCTGATGTGGTATCGCCCCGAGGATGTTGATGTGTGGATCGGGGCTTCTGAGTTCCCTGCTTCACGGGGTGTCCTCTCGTTTGCTGCAGGGTCCACTTTCACCGTTCTGTGCAGGGGCGTGAGGCCCCCTCGGGCCTACGATGTCCGCCACGTTCTTTCCTCGCCCATGGAGTGGGGTCCCTTCGAGCACGCACCCCGGCCTACGAGTGCCTTGCACCATGCTGTCTTCTGTGAAAAACGCTGGTCTCGGGTTCCTTTTCCCACCCTTGGGACCTGCTGCTTAGAAGATTCCGTTCGCGGTGCCCTGAATCTGTCGCCGGAGGCAGGTTTACTTCAGACTAGGTTGCGTCTCAGTCTTGACGTGCATGGAGACACCTGCCACACCGTGTTTGCTGCGGCCTCCGCGGTGCCGGCTTGGTTAATTGATCTGAGGCCGCTGGGGTTCGCTTTGCGTATACTCCACAAAACTGGTCGGCCGGATGTTGAGGATGTCCTGCCGCTCGTCACCTTTGCTCGACCGGGTGACTCTTTTCCTGGCTGCCCTTGTCAGATCCCTGCCAGTGTACGGATTGCATGCACACCGGAGGTATGTGAGGCCCGCTCCGATGACATTCTTCCCATTGTTGGTGTGCGCTTCGTTTACTCGCAGGTTGGTTCTGAAGAGGTGGCCTCCCGGTTGGGCTTCCACGGCCAAGCAGTTGCGGGGGTGGCGGCCCCGCCACAGGCGCAGTGCCGGAGCCTATCCTCAGGTACCCCCTCCCTTTCACAGGCGGCGCAACACCATGTTGCTCTTGATGAGAGGGAGCATCTTCCTGCCCCTTTCCATAGGCTTGCAGGTGTTCCCCCCGAGGCTGGGGAGTTTGCTCATACAGGCGCTCAGGAGGATTCGGATGCTGACTCCCATGAGCAGATCTGGTCCCCCACCTTTCTCCTGTTGGCGCCCGACGTCGCACCTGAAGTAGTCAAGGTTACTCTGGAAGCTCCTTGTTCGGTTGATGACTGTTTACAGGCGATCGTTGACGCAGCCGACCCTGAGCGCTACCGTTTCTTCCCCAGGCATCTGCCAGTGTCTCCTCAACCATCGCAGTTCTGGGGTGCTATCCTCACGCTCCCGGCATGGGCTGGTGAGGAACCGGTTGTGGTGCTCGACCTGATCGAGATAGATGGACGTTGTTTCGCCACTTACCTTCCCAACCCCTTCACCCGCTCGCAGGTCTTGTTTGCTGCGCGTCTACCTCCTGAGTATGACGTTCGCGTCTTTGCGTTCCGGAGATATATCCCTATGCAACCGAGGGATTATATCGAGGTGGAAGTGGGGGGAAAGGTTACGTTTCGGCGTCCAGGAACTGAAAACTTAGTACCGGGGTTTGCTTTGGATAACATGCTGTATTCGCCCCATTCGTGGGACCCAGAGCCGCTGCTTCCCTTGCTCTCTGGAAATGGCCGTTTCAGTCTGGTGCGAGAAGAAGGCTATACCTACTTCTCACTTGTGGGTGATGAGCATGATGTCCTTCAGTGTGCCGGAGCGGCTAGTGGTCTTGTCAGTGGCGAGGTTCACTTTGCCCTGGGTCAGCCAAGGCCCTGCGATCTTCTCTGTCATGGCTTGCCTTGCCAGGACATCTGTGCTATCTCTGCCATGGATGCCGTTACATCGGCCACGGCCGCTCCCAGCGCTCAGACTTGTCTCGTGCTGGTCGACCAGCGGCCTCTCCTTGAAGGATGGTCGCTCTGGCTGTCCTCTACCAATGAGATAGATCATGCAGAAATGGCTGGTCTATTGGAAACTTTTGTCCCAGCGGGGTGGCAGATCCAGCGAGGATCTGGGGCTAACATCGAGCAAGGTATGCTGCAGGTTCGGGAAGGTCTCATCCTCACTGCTGAGTTTGTTCCGATCACCTCCTCTGATGAAGCTCCTGCCTCTGCCAATGCCCCACCAAGTCCTTCGGGGGACTCTGAGTCAGGTTCTTCTGGTTCGTCGAATGGTAGCCACCCTACTTTCGGGCCGGCCAATCTTTCCGCGGTCACTAGCGGTGCTAGCGAAAGGGCGGCTGCTTCCGGCGGCCGGGATCGCAGTCGGTCCCGCTCCGGGGCCCTGGCGTGCCAACATGTGGAGTTTGGGGGATGCCACCCCTGCACGCGATGTCGGGATCTCTGCTTCGGGCTCGCTCTTTTTGCGTGTGCCACGCCCGTTCAGTCTGCTCCAGTTCACCCTCCCTTCTGCCCTGCAGGAGTCGTGGTTGTTCTGTCCACATATGCTAGCTGGGGCCCCCTCCTTGCCTTCGGCATTGGCGGCATTGCTAGCTTAGGTCAGGTTTTAGCGAGGTTGTGGTCTGCCTGCTCCACTCGCTTTGTGGACGCTCTTGGCTTGGTTGCGCTCAAATGGTTGATGGAGCCTGCGGGCAGGAACAGTGCAGAGCGCACTCATCTCACCGCCTTGCGATCTCTTACTGTGGAGCTCGGAGGCACCTGGCTGCCCAGGCTTCCCTTCTTCTTTGATCCCCCGCTGGCCGTGCAAGACGACTCGGAGTCCCCGGACACCTTCGCTGCCGGGCTGGTGCGACGCGTTCCGTGTGCGGTCCTTAAACTTGACTTCACACCAGAACACGTCCCTGTCACGCTGCGGATTCCTGCTACAGAGATTGAGCTTGAGCAGGAATTGCAACTGTACCGGCCGACGCAATATAAAGAGGCTTTCCCGGCGGTCATGCCCGTGATTCCACAACCCGTCTCAGGCTATGCGGTGCTCATCGCCTCAACGGCTTGGCATGGCTGCAACGGTGTCTGTTTTGACACCAGTCGCTTCGACAATCGTCTTTTCGTTGTCTTTGCGCCAGAATATGCCACGCGGGGTCTCCTTATACGTTTGGCTGACCTTCCGGCTGGTTTGGATCCGATTGTCCGCATCGGCGTTGACGATTTCCCTCTTCCGGATGGTGTGGAGGTGCACTTGTTCCCAGGAGTTCTGGTCCAGTTTCTCCCAGGTGGGGCGCTGCGCACTTCCAGAAGTGCCGACTCTCGGACAGGAGTTGCTTTCGCCGGATGCCTGGCCTGCAGAGGCAGTCTTTCCTGTCCCTGTTTTTGCAGGGGCCGCTGGTCTCCTGTTCAAGCATCACACGCATCTTTACATCGCAGAGCCTCATGAGACCATGAGTTATTACCAACGAGTTTCTGCGACTACCGGTGCGAGCTTGGCTCGCATGCGTCTCTTTGCTGCGCGTCCGGCTCCATTGGATGCGGAGCTCGGGGGCGTACCTTGTGAAGCCATTGTGGCAGTGGGGGAGCACGGTGTTGCGAGCTCCAATACGTGGCACATGGTCATTTTGGACTGCCGTCCCCTTGAGGACGGCTGGCAAGCTATCTATGCCGAGGGTCGTTATCTTGATGTCCTCAGGCTTTTGGATGATCTTGACCGTGCTGCTCCACTTGGATGGCGCACCTGCTTTGTTGGTAATGTGCCGCCCTCGGGGTCCCTGCCCGTCACGCCAGGGCAGGTCCTTACTTTTCGCTACTTTCCGGCTCCTGTTCGGAACCTTGGTTATAGACCGCCTCCCCCACAGCAGCCAATCGATATGGGAGGGGCCTCGGCTAGCAGTGGTGGCGTGGCCGGGGTTCCTTCTGTTCCGTGCTTTGGTGCCCAGTAGAACGTTAGCTTGCCGTCTGGTTCTCCCGATCTCGGGGAGGCTGCTGGCCCCCCCTTTTCTGAGGCTGAGGGTGGTGGATCCAGCGGCGTGCCGGTTCACTTTTTGGTCCTGGCACCGGAATACGAGGCTGAAAGGATCCAGTTCTTGCTTGCTCTTCCCACCACGGTTGCGGAAGTTCTTCCGGAGGTATCTCGTCGAAGGGACCCTGGTTGCCATCACCGATTCCCGCGCCTTCTGCCAGTGCCGATTCAGCCTCCCTTCTCTTTTGCCTGCCTGATTGCGCTGCCTGCTTGGGACCCCGTCGGTATCCCGGTCGTGGTTGCATGTCTTGTACCGCCCTTTCGGATCTTTGCGGCGCTTGTTCCTGCGGTGATCCGGCCTGAGGCCGTACTGCGCATCGCTGGCGTTGGCCCTGATGAGGGGGCACTTGTCTTCTTTCATGACGTTCCTTGGGCTGTGCCGGCAGATTCTGACATTTTTGTCCGGGCGGGCTGCCTTCTGACAGTGTCTTCGCCCAATCAGGCTGATCCTCCTCCGGTCTCCCTTGACAACATGTTGCGTTCAGAGGTGGGATGGCATGACAACCCTGCCTGGCCTGGGCCACATCCAGAGGGGATTTGGCTACTCACGGAACAGCAGCACCACAGGTTCTTATGCGCATCTCGCCGTCCGCCGCTTCGAGTCGCGGTGTCTACTGCCTTGGACATCCCTCAGTCGGAGCTCATGTTTATGCCCGCCACGCCCGCGATTCGCGATCACAGCTCCCAGGGAATGGTATCCAGTCAGGTCTTTTTTGCGGTGCGACACAACGATATACCAGCTTAGTGCCATTCATTCTTGACATGCGGCCCGTGCTACTTTTCCCGACAGTCGCTTTTGCTACCAGGGGCCGCGTCGACGTTGCGTCGATTTGTTCCCGTCACCTTGCCAGATGTCCGCCTGGTTTCTGCATTCGACTGACGGGTGGTCATGCCTCAGGGGATTCGGCCAACCACTATAGAGGGGTATTTCCGGGGCAGGTTCTGACTGTTGAGTTTGTTCCGCGGTGGTCTGGCTCTGGTCTGAGTGGTCCTCCTCCCCACGATGATAGTGGGGATGATGCCGATGGAGACCACACTGACGCTGACGACCCTGATGAAGACCCAGACGATGACACCTGGCCCAGTCAGTTCTGGGCGCGGGATCAAGCCTCTTCTAGTGCCGACCATGTACCCAGTCATGGCCCGGGGTTCAATGCCTGGGAATGCTCACCAGGACTTTCCCTACCGAGGACTCCCGTTGCATGTGCTGCGGACGAGTCTTCGCTCCTGGTTTGCAGGACTTTGAGCAAGCGCTTTCTTTTGCGGGTCAGCGGGGCCCCACCTGCCCCTACTGCCCTAGATGCAGCCGATTTTGTTATGTGGCGTTTCGGTCGAGTAGCCAAGTGGAAGGATGGCTCCCTAGATGATGCCTTGCGTGATGGCCGCCTTCCTTCCACCTCTGTCCTCCCTTACGCTTTTACATGCGCACCCTTCCGGCTCGGACGCTTTGCTGCGTCCTCTGGCTATGAAGCTGTTTCGGTTTGCCGGTCGCTCTGCCTGTGGGCCCTTTGGGTTTTCCGGGGAATTGTTCTTGGCCTGCTTCTTGCAGGCGGTGCCCCTGAGCGGATACAGACGCGGCTACCTATTGGGACCCTTCGGCTCCGGCCTTTGGGCTGCATTCTGGTCTACCTTATACTGTGCCAACCCGTTGTAGGGGTTCAGCTCTTTGACATTTCTGGACAGGGACCCTCAGAGGACCAAGTTTTGCCTCCCTTACCAATTTTGGCCGCAGCTGGGAACATGCACTGTGGAACTTGCGGCGCCCCCTCCTTCTCTGCTATAGTCGGAGATACTGACTTTGTTCCTCAGCGTGATGCGCGGCCCATCCCGACCCCGTGTCGAGGAGGTCTCCCTCGCGCTCCAGACATACCCGCGTCTCCCTTGTCGGTGAGGATGACGCCCTTGGTCCAGTTTCTATGGACGCGGCTGCTCTGACTGAGGGCCTGGTCACTCTGCTCTCGGAGAGTGCTGCACAGGATGACGCTTGGGCTTTCCTTGCTGCTACTCTTTTGGACACTTTGGAGGAGTACTTTCTTGGGCAGCCCCCGGCACCTGTGAGACCTGTCGTGGAGCCTCCAGCATTTGACACCGCGGCCTCGGCGGTTTTGTCTCGTCGGAATCCTACGGCCTTACATCTGGATCTCCTTTTGCCACAGGAGCCGGCCCCTGTTTTGGCCTCGCTTTCTGCTCCGGAAATCTTTCCCATGGATGGGCGCCAATGCCAGCTGCCTTGCAGCAAATCCGATGTCGATGCCCTTTTCCGTCGGGTAGGCTTTTCCTCGCTTCGTTCCGCGCCTTCAGGATTGCCCCGGTCGGAACGCTTTGCCCAGTGGGTCTGGGTCGACAATGTCGGTCGTTCACCAGCCCCCGACGAGCTCCTGGTCGTCACATCAGATGGCTCCTTCACTGATATGCCCAGCAGGGCAGGGTGGGCCGTCTCCTTTTCAGTAGTGTCCGCAGAGCTGTTGCGTCTTCCCGGCGATTTCATTGGGTGCGTCTACGGGGACATGACTCTGTTTGCTGCTCATGTGTTGCCTGGGACCACCCTCTTTGACCCTTTTATTGCCGAGGTCGCGGGCCTCCTGTGGTCGGCTGTTGCTGTCGCGCAATTGCCCTGGGGTGGTGACGTTGTCTTCCGCGCCGACAATATGTCTGCCCTTTCGGGCGTGCAGGGTTGCACTCATTTGCCGGATCATCCCATCTGTGGTCTTGCTCGCAACCTGCACTTTGCTTTACAAATCTCTCGCCCTCAGCGTCTCTACTACCAGCATGTCCCGGGACATTCCGGGGACGAAGCGAATGAGCTGTCTGATGCACTGGCGTCACACGCGGCCGGTGGAAGGAGCTCCCATTTTCCCTTCGAGCTAGATCTTGCTTTTTGGTGTGCTTCAGGTGGTGCCCGCTCGGCCTGGATACCCCATGTCTGTATGGCGAGCATGAGGCCTGATGAGCTTCCCTCTTTGCACGTGGATGTTCACTCGTGGAGTAGGGGCCTGGGATCGTGCAATCTTCCTCCTGCTTTTGCCATGGAACCTTTCTTGCGTGATCGGGCAACCACTCCTGTTGTCCGTGAAGACCACAGGTTGGACCTGTGTCTTGCCTCGTTTAATGTCCTTTCGCTCCTCGGAGAATGTTTGGACACAAAGGCTCATCTTTCGGGCTTGCATGGGGCCACAGGTCGTGTTTCCCTGTTGTCTAACTCCTTGGAGTCGAGGTCGATTCTTGTGGCGGGACTACAGGAATGCCGGACCCCCCCCGGGACTATGACAGCTGGTTTCTTTCGGCGCTGGGCTTCTGGTTGCGACGATCAGGCATGCTATGGGGTCGAGTTGTGGATCCACAGGCGCGCACCCATAGATACCGACTCGGTTGTTGTCTTACACTCCGAACCTACCCTGCTTATTGCGGGCGCCTCTCTCTATGGTATGCCCATTCGCATTCTGGTTGGACACGCTCCCCACCGAGTCCATGACGAGACCTTTCGACGGGTCTGGTGGGGACGCGCTGCAAGTTTGTGCCATGCGCTATCCGGTGCGGCCGCATGGGTCCTTCTGATGGACGCCAATTCCCCTGATCCTCCAATAGTCTCTT